CAGCCAGCCATCCGTGTGGCAGCTGAGGAGCCGTCTGTCACGTCACACCGACCACGAAGCTCTGTCCTAGCTTCTCAGTTATCTTCTCTAGACTATGAACTTGTTACTGACAGAACCATATCTTGCTATATTTATAGTCAGTTTTTAGTGTAATGCCTTGTACATTAATATTTGTGGAATGGCCTGTTTGAAATAACAGTATGGAATAGGGAGCTAGAATGAGTCTTGGTTCTTAATTAGTAACATACTAACATTTTTATCTAAAGATATTGTAAAGTGTTATCTGAAGATGTATGTAAAGAGTTAACCTACATTTCCAGTTCCATTTGTTGTTGTTGTTGTTGTTAATATAGCTGCACATTCAAAAGTTTCTTGAAAGCCAGAGATTAAGTAATTTGGTCAAGATTACCAGTAATTGTCAGAGCTTGGACTCAAACCTGTGTCTGAGTTGGGAGAGTTCCCTGTAACTACTCTGCCTTGCAGCTTTTCTAAATTATAGTGCTAAATTGTTGATCAAGGCTGAAACAGTATATTTAGAATCTTCATGACTCAATATTTAGTCTCAGAATTTTCTTTTGGCATTTATATTGTTTGATTAATTGATAGATAGAATCCGAGTTTCATGATAAATTAGAGGTGATATATCCTTATATAATAATACGATGTTTTAAACGTGGCTGTTGCCTTGGGAAAGTTCACCACACGATAGATAGATCCTTACCTGTGTCTCTCCTTTTCTCCCTCTCCCTTTCTTTCTCTCCGCCCCCCTTCCCTCTTTCCCCTCTCCCTCTTTCCGCTCTCTCCCCTCTCCCTTCCATTCCTCTTCCTTCCTCTCTTCTCTCCCCTGCCCCCTTGTGGCATTCTTATATAGGTAATAAATATATCTATGTTAGGTGAATAGATGTACATATAAATAAAATAAAAAAGAAATAGGCTACGTAAGTTGTTAAATGTTAGAAACATGCTACCTACCAACCAAATGTTAGAGCCAAAAGAAAGATAAAGGACAGTTTGATGAATACCTTATGAGGAAATGAGGTTGTGTAAAATTGCAATTTTTTTTCTGAAGTGTTTTAATCTCCAACTCATTATGTATGGGATACTAGCCAGAATCCAAGAAAATGAGGTAGAATATAAAACTCTTAAAGTATGTCCCGTTCCTATTGTGAAGAAACTCATAGTCTTGTAAATAGAGGAAAACCTAGTTTTAACCTAGTTTTAACATCTTATAATGCAATTTCTGATTTATTGTAAGTAAATTACAACTACTACAGGAATTTAGGAATAGGAACAAAATCATCTAGGTTGATCTATGGCTGAAATAGAACTGGTAGGTGTTTTGTAAAGGATGTTTGGAATTTGAAATAGGTGCGTGCAGATGATAAAACATCATTTTCTGTTTTCCTATGGCCAGAATTTCTTTTCTAGGTGTCTACAAATATTTGATTGCTAGGTTGCCGAGTTGAATTGTTTTTTTTCCATGGTTACAGCAAAAACATATAAGGGTGTGTGATTTATTTCCCCTTTGAAATACAATCTATTTTAACTACTAAATCATCTGTCATATAAAGAAGTATGTAAGATTATGTAATCTGGCACTGTAACTTTCTCCCTTTGACATACAAGGGTGCTTTTTGGTCTGATTCCTGCTTACCTCACTATCCTAATCTCATCCGGTCTCTCAGGTGCTATTAGCCAGAACTCCAGAGTTTCCTTTTCCTTTTGCACCCAGGCCTTTGGGCATGTTGTGCCTTCTGCCTGGGTTGCTGCCCCTTCACTTCGTTGTTTCCTCATCATCTTTTCAGCTCAGATTAGATGTCATTTATTCTTAGGAAGCCTTCTTTTGCCTTCCCAAAACTGAATTAGATGCCCCTTCTGAATTTCCCGTAGCATCCTGACTTCACTTAATCCTACTGCAATTTTCAATTAATTTGTCACTAGAAAGTAAGCAAGCTTCTTAGGTCAGAAATCTTAACTTCCCCCATCCCCAACTTCTGTATTCTCAGTGCCTTAATGCATTTTTAATAAATATTTGTTCAATAGAAAAATCTCTTTGGAGTTAAACCAAGCACCTTTTTTGGTGCTCACTAGATATCATCTAATGGATAAGTTTGTTTATTTCATTAAAACAGCATATCTTGGTGGTTCTGAACTGTTTTAACTAAAGATATACAATACTACAACCATCTGTGTGAAAATCTTGGTATACAACGAAGTAGTTTCTGTACAGTGAATTTTCAGAGCATGTTTGTTATCTTAGTGTTTTAGATTTTCCTTTATGTTCTTTTGTCAGGTGTGCCTATGTGTGTATGAGAGGGTATATCTGTGTGTTGCATCTTTTTTTCTGTCCCTTGTTTTTTATTGTTTTTGTTTTAAGCCACACTTACCGAGATTTTATGTTTAATTCATTTTGATAATCTCTGCTTTTCATAGTGGTTTTAATTCATTTCTGTGTATTAGAATTACTGATAGATTTGGACCTATTTCTACAATTTTTATTTCTGTTTTCTTTATTATTTTTTTTTCATTTCATATGTCTTCCTTAAATAGGATGATAGTTTTTATTTTCGGTTTCCTCAGCTTTTTTTTTATTACTGTAGATTTTATTTCTTTTTATATTTTTTGGTGTATACCATTAAGTTTTTAAGACACATATTTAATTAAATTTTGCCAATAAAGTCTAGAGTTATTCAGTATTTTTTTCTCCTGTTTATGTCAAATTTCTTAGCCTTCTTTACCTATCACATAAACATTCCCTTGTTCATTTTATTCTTTTTTAGAGTTTGAGTTTCACACCTATTTAAACACCCAGAAATGACCTCATAAGTGATTAATACTTAAACATTTTTATCAGTTTCTGTGCTAATTTGTTTCTTGTAGCTCATGGATAGCCTGCGTCCACTCTTCTTGAGGAACTGCATTTTATAATAACTCATCAATATATAGTAAATTTTTTTAGCCTTCATATGTCTAAAGAATACTTTTCCTTCATTCTTAAATGATGGTTTGGCTACATATAACATTTTAGACAGTTATTTTTCCTCAGTGTTTTGAAGATATTACTTCATTGTCTTCTGACCTCTATTACAGCTGCTGAAAAGTGTGCTCTCAGTCTGTCATTCCCTTGAGGTAATCTGTTTTTTTCCTCTGATAGCTTTTATAATTGTGTTTTTATTGTTGATAGTATGCAGTTTCTCTATAGTGTATCTAGTGTGGATTCATATTTATACAGTCTGATATTTTTTTTTCTGTTTAATTTTTTTTTAATCAAGGTATATACTTGTACAAAGGGTAAGATCAATTAATTTTTACATAGGCATATATCCAGGTTACCACCACCTAGATATAGAATATTTCCAGCAATTTACAAGGGCCTTTGTGCCCCCTGCTAGTCAATGTACTATATAGATAGCCATTATTCTAAACTCGTTCAGAACTCTTTTTATTTTGAGGGTATATATCTCTTTTCAGTTCTGGGAAATTTTCAGCAGTTATCTTTTCAATTTCATGTATTGCTTCTTCACCATTCCCAGTCTCTTCCCCGAAAGCCCGTTAGATAAATGTTACAGCCTCCATCTGTATGACTCCTCTTTTCTGTTTTTTATCTTTTTGTCTTCCTATATTAAGTTACAGTTAGTTCCTAAATGCTATCAGTTCACGTCACTATAACCATCTAGAATATATCCCATTGATTGTTTCTTTACGTTTCACTGACTGTATTTTTTATTTCCAAGAGTTCCAATTAGTTTTTTTCCATGTGATATTATTTTGTTTTATTTCAGTACATTATTGGTTTTTTCTATCTCTTGTCTTCTGATGGATTTTTTACTTTAATTTATATTTCTGAACATCCTCAAAATACTTATTTAAAAATCTTTGGCATGTTGCACTAAATGAATTACATCCGAAATGAATTTCTGTTGCAATTATTGATTTTGTGGTTTTCTTCACATGTTTTAGAACTTTGTTTTGTAATTTACTTTTTAGTGGAAGGTTTTTGTTTGTGTTTCAGTGCCTTCCCACCTAATCCCTTACTCTCTCCCTCCTCCACTCCCCAGTCAGGGATTTTGCTGTTTCTCTTGGTGATATTAGCAGATGCAGTAAAGGAGCCAGAGAGTGGCTTGGCTCTGTTCCTAGTATTGAGGCACTGTTTTTGTTCCCTCTCTCTTAGACCCACAGTTCTTATTAGAGCCACAGTTCTAGTTAGTAGGCGTTGAGTGCATGTTTTTTCAGCCTCCTATTATGAGTAGAGGAACCCTGACCCAGCCCTAGCTTTAAGTTGAGAATCTGATTTGAGTCTCCTGGCTTCATAAGGTCACTTTTGATTCCCTTTACTCCAGAAGAAACCGAGATACTTTACCTTCCCTTTCCTCCCATCCCCTGCCCCCTCAACCTGCTTCTAGATCTAGAAACCAGCAGTCGGGTCCTGCTCAACATTTTTGAGTTTCAGTACTATTTCTGTTGCACAGAAATGTTTCTTATTGACCTCAGTTGTATCTTTGATTATCTCTCTTTTTACTTATTATGCTTTATTCATTTATGCTCTGTGACACCAACAGGTTTTCTGAACTCAGCCTACAGTGTTAACCCAGAATTTCTATTACTTGTAAAATTTTTCATGGACTAATAGTCAAAGTTTATTAAAAAGAAAGGAATGTGGGGTCTGGAATTGATTTGTTCAGAGGAGGATATGCATTCATTGTTGTTGTCTCTAAAATGTGATTTCATTTTTAATATTTGCTCAATAATCTTTTAACTCCTTTTTTATTATAACAGTTGTAATTTATGTCCATTATAGAGCTTTTGGAAAATACAACAAAGCATATATATATTCACACATGTAAACACATACACAAAGAGAATTGTAATTCTGCAGCCCAGAAATAGCTATTGAATATTTTGGTATTTATTATTCATGTTTTACACACATATACACACACTAGCCCTCATACTAATATTCATATTTTAGAAAGCAAAACAAACCTAGTCTTGTTTTGTAGGTGAAGCTGTGAGTGCTGGAGATGCCTTATGCGAAATAGAGACCGACAAAGCTGTAGTTACCTTAGATGCAAGTGATGATGGCATCTTGGCCAAAATAGTGGTAAGTTTTTATTTTGATTTTTTCAACAGGATGAAGATTTCTTAAATGTAAAGTTTCTTGAAATAAATTTACCTTTTACTTTTACCAATTTATTTATAGTGTTGTATTATCTAGTATATAAGACATTTTAAATTCAGATATTTAAAATATGTTAGTGTTAAGTACTAATAATAGCCGGTGATGATCAACCACATGGAACTATTCTAACCTTAACAATGATATTCAGTATTTTGGATTTCGTAGTGCAGAACGGAAGCACTCTGACCTGAGAGATGAGAGAAGGCTATTAAACAATAGGTTAAAGCTTAGAGCTAGCAGTTTTATAGTTTTAAAGTTGGTAGAATCCAAAAGAAGGAATGTTTTACTCTAATTCCACGAAAATAAGAAATCCTGTCTTCATCGATCCCCAGGACTCCCAGGACTGAAAGTTATCTGTTCAGCTCGTCCCCAAACAAGACTATTTTAAGTTGTTCTGTGTGGTCTTGTCTGTAGGTTTCGTAGCCACACTCAGTGGCCTGGTTCAGGCCTTGCTCATCCATACAATTTGGACATTTTTATAATCATTTAAAATATATTTATGTAAAAAGATATGTGTATAGAATATTTCACATACTTGAATATAGTTGACAGTCGTGTGTGTTAGTAGTGTTATTTTCTGTGCCATGAGCATTTTTATGGAAAATATGCCTGCGAATCTAGTGAGACCAGTCATTTCTTTTTAGATCTAAATTTAAATATATGCAGTTGTTCAACAAAAACTTTCCCAGCTCAGAGCTTTTATTAAAAAAAAAAAAAAAAAGGTTTATAGAGCCAAATGCTAACCTAAGAAGAGACTGGGTCCAGGGGAATGAAGTCCAATGAGAAGGTCTAGGTGAGAAGATAACAAACATGTCAGCCATCTTGGAGATGAAAGGCTCTTATGCAAACAGTTTAGGGAAGAAAGCTATAGTCGTTTTGAAAGAGTTTGCATTGGCTATTGATAAAGTGCGTGGAAAAGGTGCGAAGCAGGCCAATTGAGGAAGAAGTGTTTGCACCTTGGGTTTGATTGTGGGCAGAGTCCTGAAAGTTCAAGCATAAGCAAGAAGAGGAGGTGCCTGGTGAATGACTGCCTGGCTGTTCTCCCATAATTGTGGAAATAGCCAACTAAAGGTTAATTCAGAGTTTTGACATACAATCAGGAATGCAAAGAGTCTTTTGTTGGTTTTGCCTGGTACTGTTAACTGATTAACCTTTCTTGTCTCTTCCTTCCACCCTCTGGCCTGCTGTAATTTAATTTAGGACATCTCAAAGTCATTCTGAGTGCCTTTCTCTGAGCAGTCTTTATAACTAATTAAAAATACAGAGCCGAAACTTGGATACTCTAGTGATTTTATTAGGAGCTGAAGTTAGTACAGCCCTTCAGCCATAATGTCTAGCAATATAAGAGAGGCTACTTAAATAACAGAAGAAAATATGTACTATAATATAGCCATTAAAAATTATTCCTACAAAAAAATGTGATTTCTTTATATATGTTACATTAGTAAAAATTAATACAGTAATAAAGATTCAAAAAATTTTGGAAAAATGCTTTTAAAATTGTGTATAGATAGTGATTACAATCTTTTAAGACTTCAAGGGAAAACATATGTATAGACAAGATTAGAATAAAACGTTTTAAAAATGTTGAGTGTCTTTGGGGAGTGGAACCAAAAGATCTTCCTTTCTCATTTTTCTTGTATTTAAAATTTTTCTATAATAGCCATATTATTTTTTAAATGGAATTTATGTGAAAAGTAAGTAAATTAAAATGCGTAAAGCCTGAATAGGGTATATTCACTGACAGTGCATGTTTGTTTCTTAATAATAAAATGATTTAATAAAATGATTTAATAGTATGTTGTAGCAGCTAACATTATAGGTCTGGTGTCACACTGCTTGATTCACATAGCTAATAAGTTCTGCCAGTTATTCATTATGTAATAATTGAAAAATTCTTTAACTTCTCTTTGCCTTTTTCTTCCTAGTAAAATGGAGATGATAATACCTACCTCATGGGGTAGTAGTGGAGATTAAGTGAAATGATACATACACACTCATTAGAAGACTTATTACCCACCAGATGTCAATAAATGTTGCTATTCCCATTATTATAATGTATTCAGTCAGCTTTTAGTGACCATTGGATCCCATGTCTTTCTGTATGTTTGTGTAATAATTTGTAGTGCTTTTTTGTGATGAGACAATAAATCTTCATTCATGCCTCTGTAGTTTGATTTGTACAGATAAGCTGTACATAGTCCCTTGTTGATGTGTTTTTCATTCTGAAACTCCAGCTCACCTCTGCTTTGAGCACGGATATAATACCTTCCTTTGTATATTCTATCCAAAGACTACACTTTGAAATGTTATGCTCTAATTAGATGTAGATCTATACACAGTTTTTATTCATGTATCATACTAGAAAATCCCCTTTCCCTTTTAACTAGTCACTTACACTTTATTTTTTACATTCTAATTTGTCAAACTGCCTTTACTTGTCATCTACAATATTAACGACCATGTAAAACAACATTGTTGAAAATATTTCCTTGGAGGAAATATGAATGAAAGGCTAAAATTTCTGTACCTTTATGACTAAATATAAATATATGATGTAGCAGCTAGGATTGTAAGCTTAGAAAATATAAATATTCACACCAAAAATAGTTTCTTTGACTAATTTATGCAGCATTTCGGAAAAAAAAGAAGATTATTTGAATTACCATATGTAATAAACCCAGCTGCATTTTGTTGTGTGTGCTTTTGGCAAGCTGTGTTCCTAGCCCTAGGTTGTCTGGGTTGTTTGGCTATGAAAGTCTTCCAGAATTGATAGCGCTTTCCACTTAGCTGCTTAGAAGTGCATTTCAAATTGCTAATGATGTTATAGGTCAATAGTGGCTGTTCATCTGGCCCCCAGTGCTCCAGAAAGGAGTGGAGGATATGATTGATAGCAACTTCAGTGGCATAAATAGCTATTTCCTTGCCAAAGAAAAGATCGAATGTACATTTTAGGGCTTTATGGCTTTCTTATTCTTCCACATGCTTTTTGAATAATAAGAATGGAAATATATTAATGTCATAATGTATGCAGTTTTATGGGGGGGAAATGGAGAAAAAATTAAGGTGGTATTACTGGTTTGTCTGTGTTTTTAGTCTTTCACCCCACTCCGTTCCCAATCCTCCACTAGCAAATTACACCTTTCATTTTGGAATAATTTTCATATTAGCGTATATAATAAAATGATTTTTATAGGAATACATAAAAGAGATTTTACTTTGAGAATCAAGAAGTTGAGCATTTGAGCTTATTAAAGCCAAGTGATGGTATAAAACTAGTTTTTAGATTTCCCATATTTTTGAAAGAATTAGAAATTATAATCTGTTTTGCTATCCACGGGGATTCATTTCCAGTCTTTGAAAGATTTTTGCCTTCTTTTTCTCCCCCACAATTTTATGCTTTGCTTTGTATTCACTATTATAATTTTTGCATCTGAATTCCATTTTAAATATAAAAATAATATTTATTGCATTTCAGTTAGAACCAGAAAAAAAGCTTAGAAGCTCTTAATAATGTTAATAAAGAATACTTGCTGTCAGTACAGATAATTTTATGGTTTATTTCCAGTTTAGTTCAATTAATTGTAAAGTTAAAGTCTCATTTAATTGCTAGTAAATTGTTGAGCAGAAAACCTTAAATTATTACATATCGGTTCATAAGCTTAAATTTATTACGCAGCAAGTTGGACAGCCGGTGTTTTTAAATGATAAATTAATTAAATAGACTGTAAGGTTGACATTTTGGAGAGTTTATTAGAGTTGTCTTCGATCAATTTCTTAGCTGTATCACCCTAATACTTTGTCAGTGGTGTTTTCTAAAGAATGATATTTTTCAATATGGTTTTATTTTATTTTTAGGTACCCCCTTATTTTTTATTAAATTGCCTACGATTGCCTTCAAAGTCGTATTTTATAGCTTGAAAATTTATTGATGACAATTGAAGTTGTGAGGCTTTCCATTCTTCTTTGTGGACTAATACTTTTAATTGAGAAAATATCTTCTCAAAGCTCAGAGCAAATTCAATTAAATGAAAGATATTCTCAGTTTTAATTTTTTCCTGTTGAAATGGGTAAGTGACATATCAAAATGGTAAATGAGTGTATGGTCCCCAAGAATTAAAAGCTAAATCAATTATAATCCACATTGTAGCTTCTCTTTTAAGCTTGCTTTTAGATATGGTAGTGTGGCAGCCCGACCCTGCTTGGCCATTTCCTGTTCAAACAAGTTCGTTCCTGACTGCCCCCCAGCCCCCACTTCCAAGGACTCTCTGGCTAACATCAGTTTTCTCATAGCTTGCCAACCAATCAGGGTACTTCCTTATATCTGTAGCTGTGTAGGAATGACAAGACTATATAAAACTGCCCATTATGTTACAGTTGGGGCTTAGCCTTAGGCTAAGAATCCGCTGAGCCGGTGCCGCCATCAATAAACGCTGCTTCCTGCTTATAGCCTTGGTGTTCCATCTCTCCATTCGAGAATCCCGTCAACAGTGGCACTATCCTGAGATGCTATATGGTAATTCTGATCATGTAAATGCAGTTCACAGATTTGGTACTGATCATATGGAATGCTATCTCTAATGTCAGACAGCATTTGACTCTTGGCTCTGATACCTAACAGATACCTAATAACCTTGTGATCGTGAGCAAGTTATTTAACATTTTTGTGTCTCAGTTTCATCATCTATAAATGGGAATAATAATAGCCCTCAACTCATAAGATTATTAGGAGAATTAAATGAATTAATACTGTGCTAGAACAGAGACTGACACTTGAATGCCCGACAAAGTGTTATTCAAGAACTTAATGATATTTTTTCTCCCCCCTCTGCATTTTAGCTAATCTTGTCATTTATTTGTTTTCAGCTTCAGTGTTTTTTATGTATCTTCCTCTTAAACTCAAGTTTATTATGCATATAAGTTAATCAGTATATAATTAAGAATTAAAACAATTTAAAACTGTGTATTGGTTCAAACCATCATGGAAAATCTTTATTAAGTTTTCACCCCAAGTCGGACAGTCCTGTGACTCAGGTCATCTTCACTCTCTGAGCAGCTCTCAAGCTGTTCTATTTTTAGAAAGAAAAATATTTAATTGCTTAACTTACAGATTATCTTTTAATGTCAGAATCAAAACACTATTTACCAGCACCTTTAATGGAATGAACCCCCTCACACAATTTCTCTGTTGGGAAATACTGCTGTAGTTATTTTGTCTCTTGATTTCATTTCCTTTCCTTTAGTTCACTGATGAGTTTAGGTGGCCAACTATATTTAGCACACTTGCAGGTGATTTACGTCAGTCTATGGAGATGCCTGTGGTAAAGAGGCCCCATACTAGGGATGGAATTCAGCCTCTGTATGAGTATTATGGCAAAATAGTATGTCACAGGCCTTACCCACCTATTGTCTCATATGTTGCTATTTACTCTCTAGTGCTGCTTGCCTTCTGTTGGGCCTCAAGGCGTGAATTTCCAATCCTTACCAAAGGAGCACTCCTCTGCAGTCCTGTCTTGATCCATGAGTGTACTCGTTTTAAAAGTCAGTCATTTGGAGGAAAACACAATAATAATAATAATAATAATAATACCTTTCACATTTATGTAGTAATTACTAGATATCTGGTACTGTTTTAAAGTTACATCTAACTCATTTATTCCTTAAAACAACTCTGTGAAGTAGCTGCTATAATTATTTCCATTTTACAAGTGAAGAAACAGGCATGGTGAGATAAACTTTACTTAGGTCACCTAATTAGTTAAGTAGCAGAGCCTGCAGTAAAACTCAGGAAGTCTATAGACAACTGGGAGGGAAAGCTAATACTTTGACAGATTTCAGCATTAATCAGCAGTTGTAGCAGTGCTAAGTATAAAAATCCTGCGTTTAATATTAAGAGATCAGTGTCACAAGAGTAGGAGGCAATTTTGATCAAGTAAACCAAGTGCCTGGGAAAAGAACTGGGCGTTTGAGGTGTCCTTGAATTCCACATGCTCTAGTGGAGTGGAGCATACCCACAGTGCTAACTCGGAGGGAGCAGTAACAAAGGCTCGCTTGTTTGACTTCTAAACACAACTTGGAAAGAGAATTATTTACTCCTATGTTACTAAGTTTATGCCAGTTTTAAATATGTGCTGACTACAACATAAGCAAACTAGTCTATAGGATACTAGCACACCTCTAAAAGATCTATTATTTCTAAGGGAAAGAAAGTCAGAGAAATTATTTTAACTTCATTTAGTGATTTTAATGACTTTAAATGGAATTATAATGGTGGTATCTACTTGTTATATCCCTTATAGTATCATGCTTTATGGTGACATAATTAAATAGGAAAAATGTGAGTAGTTAAGAATAAGTTTGATATTTAGGTCTGGTAAAAATTGAAATGATATTAAATGCTCATTATTGCCTACTTGTGAAGGATTCAATTGGTAGAGTACATATGGAATCATTTATATGACTTATTGTAGAAAATGAAACAGATGAGGTGTCAGTTTCAGATTTAAAATAGTGTCTGATTCAGATTTCAGAAATCTATATTTTTTTAAATAAAACTTTATTATTGTTTTTTAATAATGCTTTGCATTGGAATCATGTTCTTTGTACTTGGGTGTTGATCCCATTTCTGGTTCAGTTTTGATAGGAATTAATTTCAAGTAAATGTCATGTTACTTAATGCGTTTTCCTATCATTTTTAAAGAATAGTCATTTTATGTTGTAATTTTGAGTTAGCAGTTCATAAGCAGGTAATTGGACATTTTAGAAGAAAAATGTTAATAACCTTAGTTCATCTTTTTGACGTAATAAAGACAAATGAGCAGTCCACAGAAGTAAAACTTTTTAGTATGTGACAGTTAAGCAGATTGTTCTTGGGTTTAGTATTTGTCCACAGATTGCAATTCCTTAAACATGGTTATCTGGTTTTACATACCCATTTCTAATATATATTTTGTTTCATCAAAGAATTGTTCTTATTCTTCTCCGTCAGTAATTAGTAAACTTAGAAAGCTTCCTAAGTCTCAGAACTTGTGCCTTAATTATTACTTTAAGAATAGTGCACATACTAATAAACATTAAAATTAATGTTACTCAGAAATGTCAAACTCATTCTAGGAGTTATGCTTTTACTTATAATTACTATATTAGTGAATGTTCTGCAGCCTGTCACTCAATTATTCATTAAATTACATCTGGAATGAACCTTATTTAAAGTAATTGAAAAGGAATAATAGAAATTTTTAAAGGAATGACATTTCCTTGCAGTACTTAAAAAATATTGTCATCCAAAGGTTCTCTGGGGACTTTTTAAAATAAGTAAATAAGAATTAGTCCTTTATAAATTAATGCTGCTAAAATGCTTAAAATATATTTATCTTAAGTTTTATCTTTGTTTTTATTTATATTTTTAATTGGCATTACCCATGAAAAAGTGCTTGGTTAGCTGAGATACCACCATGTTTCTGATATAAAAAATTTATGAGGTTTTATTTTATTTCTCAGGTGTGTAAGTATATATACAGAGAAAGAAATATAGAAAAAGACAGAAACTACACTTAACATTAACCAGAGTAGTTAACCAATTCTGTCTATACAATAGTATGCCTTTTTTTTGTACTAAGTTTCCTGAAAAGAGTTTTCTTTAAATTAATTTTAGTAAATAGGACTAGTTTGGGGGAATTATTAACCCCTTATTAGCTCCTGGGATTCCTAAGCCTTTGTATAGAAACTGCTGGGAAAGACAAATAGTTGAGATATGTAACCACAGTCTTCTGTTTTGGATTTGTACTGATTGACATTAGAAGGAAGATAGTAATGACTAGCTCTTATACATTTGAAGGCTGTAAGAAAGAGACTCTAGGTTTTTTCCTTTATTTCAGGAGATAGCATTAGTAACTGTTGAGGGGGAGAGCGGTGAAGGAAGGTGTAAGTGGGGGGAAGATAGGAAAGGAAGGTGGTGGGTGGGTGGGAGATGGAGGAGGCAGGCTATCTTGGAAGCAGGTTTTAGTTCAGATGAAGAGATCTCTTTAATCAGTACAGAATCATCTAACAAAGGAATAAACTTTTGAGGTCAGGAGCCTTGTTATCGCTGCATTTATTTTCTTTTTAAAAAATAGGTTGAAGAAGGATCTAAAAATATACGACTAGGTTCACTAATTGGCTTGCTAGTGGAAGAAGGAGAAGATTGGAAACATGTTGAAATTCCCAAAGACGTAGGGCCTCCACCAGCAGCTTCCAAACCGTCAGTGCCTCACCCCTCACCGGAACCACAGATTGCTGTCCCTGTCAAAAAGGAACACACACCGGGGAAACTACAGTGAGTATGTTTATTTGAACGATGATGTAAAAAGAATGTTACAGCAACTTCTAGGGTATTTTAGCCATTACATTTAAAATATCTCTGTATGTACTTTAAGTAGGAAGTTACCGATTTCCCCTTTTATCTCTTAGGAAAATGAGACTTAGGAATGAATATTGTACCATCATTGGTCATTCAGCAAACAGTCGTTGTGTACCTACTGTGTTCCAGGTACTGCGGACGCCCTCCACACCCCGTAGAGAGCAAAGCAGTCTGTGTCTGCGTTCAGCTTGAAATAGGTTTTAGGATTCCAGATGGAATTCAGTATGTAAAACTTCATATTGTGTTCCCATTCCTGGGTTCTAATTACTGCGATATGAATTCCAATTTCAAATGTATAATTGATAGAAAATGGAATTAGCATTTAACATGCATTTCTTTTTTAGCTATTGTGCATTTGAGTTTGACACAGATTAGAGCTCCATTTTGTTCAGTTCTGAAAGAGCACAGATACTTAGAAAATATGATTTTACTTTAGCTTTACATAGCTTTAAGTGATAGACTGAAAATTCTAACATTTGGTGTTATTTTAATAGCCACTATAATACAAAATTACTTTATAGGAAAAAGTTATTTGTAGAGAAAAGGTCCTAAAAACCACTTTTGAACTTAAATAAAAGCATAGACCCTTTCATTTTTAAATATTTTTTCCTTTAGTTTACCGTTGTCACTTCTTGTCAGGAAAAATTCACGGTGCTTTTGAAGTACTGAGTTTTAAATTCCTGTCGTCACACAGTATTTTTGACTCGATAACCTTAACTCCCCTTTATTTTCTCTTCATTTACCATGAATATCAGAAGGTAGGCTTACGGATGTTTTGTGTTTGATGCTCTTCTCCCCTTGCAAAGATAGTGTGTGTACTCTGTCGTTCTGTTAAGATCCATCATTAGAAACTTTCATAGGTGAGACTCCATGGTATAGATTAAAAATTGGCTGACCTGTGAACCTGCACGGTGTGGGCCTACACTCTGATTTTCTTTTTTAAAAATTATTTTGCATTGGTTGGTGACTAGTTAATCTTCTATAAAAATCTAAAATTTTAGTTTCTGTTAAAAAAATCTGAAGATTTGGTAGCACTGGGTCCATATCAGCTACGGCTATTGCCCAGAAATGCAGCATGTCCCACATGTGTTCTTCTTAATTTCTTAGTTATAAACTTATGGAACCAGCCCATTTTATAATTTTCCTTATCTGACTATGTAGTCATTTGTGTTTGCTGCTATGCTTAAAGGTCTCAATTGAAGAATGGACACCAGTAGTGTGATCTTTCACTGTGCCTCAGTTTACTTGTCTATAGAATCAGCATACTTGTTTTGCCTCTCTTACTCTCTGGAGTCTATGTAAAGTAAAAATGCTTTCACGTAAATACTAAGGACTAGCAAATATGTGAAGGATACAATTCAGAGACAACAAAATAAACAACCTAATTAACATAGGCAAAGGACTCAAATATACATTTCTTCTAAAGAGGATGTACAGAGAGCTAATAAGCACATGAAAGGACATTCAACATCACTGATCATTAGGAAATTGGAAATCAAAACTACAATGAGATACCTCTTCATACTCATTAGAATGGCTGTTGTCCAAAAAAAAACCCAACAACAACAAAAAAACCCCCGAGAAAACAACAAGTGTTGACAAACTCTTATGCACTATTGGTGGGAATGTAAAATGGTACAGTTGTGGAAAACAGTATGGCAGTTCCTCAAAAGATTAAAAATAGAACTACCTTACAGTACATACAGCATTTCCTCTTCTGGATATATCCTCAAAAGAATTGAAAGCAGGGACTGAAAGAGATATTTGTATACCCATGTTCATAAAAGCATTACTCTAAATAGTCAAAAGGTGGAAACAGGCTATGTATCCAAAATATGCTATGTACATACAATGGAATGTTATTCAGCCTTAAAAAGAAAGGAAGTGCTGACACAGTACAACAGGTGAACCTTGAAGACATTACGCTACATAGAATAAGCCAGTCAGAAAAGGACAAATACCATGTTTTCCACTTACATGGGTCACCTAAGTAGTCAAACTGGTAAAGACAGAAAACAAAATGATGGTTGCCAGGAGTTGTGGGGATGTAGGAAGAGGGAGTTAGTGTTTAAGCGGGACAGTTTCAGTTTTGGAAGATGAAAAAGTTCTGAGGATGGATGGTGGTGATGGTTGCACAACTGTGTGACTGTACTTAATGCCACTCAGTTGTACACCTAAAATGCTTAAAATGGTAAATTTTATATATATTTTACCACAAAAAAATTGAAAGAACAATATAATTCCTTATTGATGCATATGTTGAGCCATCTGAAAGTGATTCAAAGTATAAGCTCTCTCTTTATGAATATCTACTCTTTTTAAAAAATATTTCGAAGAAGTAGCTAGTAAATTTTTTTAACATTTATATAATGCTTTTAAATTTTTTTTCAATTACAGTTGACAGTCAATGTTATATTAGTTTCAGGTATACAGTATAGTCATTAGACATTTATATAATTAATTAATTAATTAATTAATTAATTAATTTTTTAATGCCTGCAAGCACCTGGTCTTCCTAGGTGGCCTCCTATCCAAGTACTAACCAGGCCCGACCCTGCTTAGTTTTCGAGATCAGATGAGATCGGGCGTGTTCAGGGTGGCATGGCCATAGACAACCTTTATATAATTTGTGAAGTGATTCTCTCGATAAGTCTAGCCCCCACCTGGCACCATACATAGTTATTGTAATATAATTGACTGTATTCCTTATGCTATATTTTACATCCCTTGCACTATTTTGTAGCTGTCAATTTGTGCTTCATAATTCCTTCATCTTTTTCACCCAACCTCTTAAACCCCCTTCCATCTGGCAACTATGTTTGTTCTCTATATCTGTGAGTCTTTTTCAATTTTGTATCTATGAATTCATTTCAGTTTTGTTTGTTCATTTATTTCTTTTTTAGAGTCCACATATAAGTGCAGTCATATGGTATTTGTCTGTCTTTGTCATTTCACTTAGCATAATACCCTCTAGGTCCATTCATGTCGCAAATGGTAAGATTTCAGTCTCTTCTATGGCTGAGTAATATTTCAGTATATATGTACTGCTTCTTTATCCATTTGTCTACTAATGGACACTTAGGTTGCGTCCATATCTTGGCTATTATCAGTAATGTGGCAATAAACATAGAAATGTATATATCTTTTCAAATTAGTGTTTTTGATTTCTTTGGTTAAATATCTAGAAGTGGAATTGCTGGGTCATAAGGTAGTCCTATTTTTAACTTTTTGAGGAAACTTCGTACTGAGTTACTATTGAAATTTGTATGAAAATATTTTGATAATAAAATAAACCAGACTAGTGCAGATTAATTTATTCGTCTGTGACTCTCTATGGGACTCATTTTAGCTTCATTATGTTATTATTTTTCTAATTATCAACAGAATTGTTGACATTTAGATATATTTGAATCAAATGTATAAGTGTTAATTGATTCCGCTAATCTTCACGTTTTCTTCTTAGATTTCGTTTAAGTCCAGCTGCCCGTAATATTCTGGAAAAACACTCACTGGATGCTAACCAGGGCACAGCCACTGGCCCTCGGGGGATCTTCACTAAAGAGTACGTGTATGCTTTTTGTAGTAACCAATTCCATTATTTATTATCATTTTTTTTCTGAAAGTATTTAAAGAAGAGCTTATTCACTGTTAGGATTTAAAAAGAAGTACACTGTTTTATTGTATTTTTAATCTCTTTTGTCAGTGTAAAATTGTATTCTATGCAAGGGTTGTTTTCTGAATAATTGCAGCATTACTGAAGAACAGTTCTAATTTGGTAACTAAGCCATATCCTTAGAAATGGTGATAATGCAGAAAATTAGAGTGTGGAGTACAGAAACTTTATATTTTAAGTTTGTATCAGATCATTATTCAATCACATTTAAATTTCTAAAACATAGAAATATACTTTTAGAAATAATTCTATTCTCTTTTTTTCCTTTATTATTATTATTTATGCCTACAGCACCTGGTCTTCCTAGGTGGTCTCCCATCAAAGTACTAAACAGGCCTGACCCTGCCCAGCTTCCGAGATCAGACGGAATCAGGCTTGTTCAGGGTGGTATGGCCGTAGACCATGGACTGTGGCTTCACTGGGCACAAACCCAGGACTTTGTGTATAAAGCACACGTGCTAACCGCTACACTATGGAACCATGTCCAAAATAATTTTATTATTATCTGTTTGGATTTTATTCACTTACATGATCACAGTAATTTCCATATACAGTTAGATCTCTTTTTGGATTTCCCTTTCTATTCTGTTGATCCATCTGTTCATGACTTAGTACCATACTTCTTTTATACCACACTCTTAATTATATTTTATAGCTTTAAAATCTGATAAGGCTACCATTGCTCTTTTTTCCCCAATAAATTAGTTTTCTTGGTTTATTCTTATTATTTTTCCAAATATATTTAAAACAATTCATGTAGCTCCACTGGCAGGGTTGGACCAGGGAACTGTGGTATTTTTATTGGGATTGTGTCATATTTTAAATTAGCTTAGAATTGGCATCTTTATGATGTTGAGTTTTCTTAGTCAAGAATTCTGTTATATCTTTCCATTTGTATAAATTTTATGTCTTTCAAGAGTATATTAAAAGATGGCCCCTGCTTTGTTGAGGCTAATGGAGAAGACAAAGATTAATGAAAATGGCATATGAACTAATGTAAAGTTGCCGTAGTGATATGTGTCGTATTTCTATTGGCAGTAACATTAACATTTTTTCAAATTGAGTTAATGTTTTAAAGTAATATGCTTACTCCCTGTTTGTCTAATTGGTAAGAATTGAGAGCTTGCCATATTAAGTAGTCTAATTATATCCTTTTAAAAAAGCAAAGGTACTTTTGTCTTAAGGAGAAATACAAAAGCTAGTTTATTCCTACTTTAGTTATTTTTTATTCTAAATGATGTTGTGAGTTAGGTTAATTACATTAGTTTGTATTGAGCAAAATTAACAGTGGTGTGATTTCCTGGCCATAAGCAAGCTGATTTGCACTAGAATAAAAAGTGATTTAGCAGATATCCTAATGAAGTCATAGGTACAATAAAGTTGACACTTTATAAATGCTATGTGAAAATTATTCCATGAGTATAAAGAATGAAGGTATGGTTTAATTTATGACTTGCTAATCTACCAAATGACCCTCCCCCCCACCCCCAAATTGTTTGGTTTTTGAAAATATACAAATATTGTAGCCTTTGGACAAATAATATGAATCAGCAGACCAGGTAAGAGATAAGATTTGCTTGTCTAGCTCAAATAATTCATTTTGCGTCGTAGCCTTGACATCTATATATTTTTATATCTTCTCTCTAAGAGTTCCTGTTGCTAATCATGGTTATCTAATTCTCTCTTATCTCCAGGGATGCTCTCAAGCTTGTCCAGTTAAAACAGATGGGCAAGATCACTGAAACCAGACCAACCCCAGCCCCTCCAATAACTCCCACTGCGCCTTTGCCCTCAGAGGCCACAGCCAAGCCATCTTATCCCCGGCCAATGATCCCACCGGTGTCAACTCCTGGACAGCCTAATGCAGAGGTAATGTCATCTGACTAGGTTTTTATTTTTCAGATTTAAATGAGAGAGAAAATAAGAACCATTACTGTATGTTTTACAAGTACTTTCGGCAATCTATTTTAGTCATTAGCTAAAAGTCAGAAAGGTAGAATACTCCAAATGCTTTGTTTTGCAGATTTTCTAGCACAAACCAAATTTGTACAGTGCTGACTTCCAAAAGAAATTATGATTCAATTTAAATTTACTACAAGTTCCACAACTTTAGTACCATAAATATGCTCTATAATCATTGTACTTTTCATGTCTTTTTTCTTGGGTGTGGTACTAATAATTGGTAGCTGATAGTAGCTCCCTTTTGTGGATATGTTTTATTTTTCGGCTAAGGGAATTGATAGTCCCATTGTGAAGAACTATAAAGACTGTATAGCTAATCATTCTTTTCTTCTCAGGTATATGCAGTATGACAGTCCTCTTTTGTTTTCAACTTGCTCTATTTTGCCTCTCTGTCTTCCTTTCCTACTACCTTTCATGTCATTTCTTTCCCATTAGAATTAATGCAGGATAATTAAGTTTATTTAAAATTGAATGGTCTATGGCCATGCCACCCTGAACAAGCCC